ACCTCAGCCAGCGGCAGCGGCAGCAGCAGGGCCCAGGCTGGGGCCATCACCCGGCTCCGCTGTGTGGACAGTGCCCCAGTCCGTAGCTAGAACTGCTGGTAAGTGCTGGTGGCTGGGGGGAAGGCTTGGGAGTGGGGGGGTGGGAAAAGGGATTGGGGGGCTCAGAGGGAAAGGGGAACCAGCAGGGGTCCCCCCCCATGGTCCCCTCCCCCCTCCTCCAGCCCCTTATTGCCTGGCAGTGGAGCCTGGGTCCAGCTCCCTGCTGCTGGCACACTGCCTGCCCTCACAGCAGCATGCTTCAGCACCAGGGCGAGGGCCAACCATAGAGGCACTCAGCAGCCAGGGCATCTCTGTGGAGGATCCAGCCTCCGGTTGCCCCGCCTTTTTTTCCTCTGTGGGATTTTTTTGACCCCTGGATATCCAGCGGTCTAATTTTGCCCCCGCGCTGCAAATTTGCAGTGCAGGGAACATTTTCTTGTTTCCGCATGTGCCTCTTGCAGCGTCTCAAAGGGGTTTGAAATGATGCAAGGAGGCACATGCAGGCTCATCTGGACGCACCCGGGATGTTTACTGCTGAGCTAATTAATCTATTCCAAAGTAAACATCTAGTGTAGATGCACCCAGTGGCCATGCCTACACAAGATGCTGTACTGCACAGTAGACTAATCTACTGCGCAGTAAAGCATCACTGTCTATACATGCAGGCACTTACTGTGCAGTAAATTAAATTAGTCTACTGTGCAGTAAAGACAAATAGCATTAATTGCCCAGTGAGCAGTATTGCCCAAGTCAGAGGCTACTTTAGGATGGTAGAAAAGGATTAACTCCCTAAAGTTTCCAAAATTAAGGCTTCCTTGATGGTCAGTATCACAGGATGGGGTCCCCAGGGATGGCCATGACGCCCCTAGGGCTCCATGACCATGCCAGTCTTGCCCAGCAGGAACCCTTTTCCTTTCCTGCCACATCTTGATGTACTTATAATAAATAGGGAGGCTGCCCTCGAGTGTACTTAGACACGGTCCTGATGGACCCCACTGAACCCTGTGGGCTCTTGGGCCCCTTTTGGTCCTGCTCCAAAATGGATGCCTCACAGGACACCCTCAGCCTTATGGGCTAGATGCGTGGCTCCAAACCACCCCTTTACCACACCCCAAGCCTCACAGTTGGCATTCACACCTTGTCTGTCTCTGTGCCCCCTGGCACTGGGCTCTCCACAGCCCTTTCATCATCGCACCCTTTCTGGCACTGGGGTCTGCTCACCCCATCACAACACCCTCTCTGGTGCTGGAGTCCCCACACTGTCGTGGGCCCCCAGTGAGGCCTCCTCCTTCCCTAGTAGCCTCAGCCCGATCCACTGGTAAAACAGTAACTAAAATATGAGCCCCTGGGCTATAACATAGCATAAACTGTTCAGGGTGTGCTCTATCCCTTTAAAAGATCAAGCTCCAGCCCCCAGCACTAAATGCCTTGCAGACCAGGGTACCTATTGAGCTCCTGGAGCCCCATTGGCCCTAAGTGTAGCATATCAGGCTGCTGCAGCATCTCTGGGCAAGTCCTCCCTGAAGACTCCTTCCCTTTTGGCTGCTGACAGAGAACAACCCACTAGTCCCCGCCCTGGGGTTTATATGTGCCCAGGGCCCTACCTCTTCCAGTCAGCTGACCAGGTGCAGGCTAATTCCCTCATTAGCCTGCTGCCACAGTAACCCGAACCTGTGGGGTTCCTGCCTGACTGCTAGGGCCCTCTCTCTAGGCAGGTTCTGCCCTTAAAAGAGCAGGCACTTTAGTGCCCTGCGACAGTCAGGAAGACTTAACTGGTTAAGAATTGATTAATGTATACACCACCTATTGAATAACTTGTCGATCAGAGAGTTTCTTCTCAGTAAACTTGGAACTTGACAAAATGGTCAAGAAATGTAGAGAACAGATTAAAATGCTAATGTACTAAAATGCAAGAGAAAGAAATAATACTTAGTTATGTGTATGTATATTAACCTGTGATTGGATGGTTCCAGGAATAATGTATGTATGCAGAAGTAAGTTTTCAGAGAAACTTTGGATTTATGTACACTGCTATTAATCCCTTCTGATCATTATTTTGACCAGTCAACTGGTCTAAGTTTTTGTCACTAAAGCTACTTAGATACCTACAGTTCTGTTACTGAGCCACACCCCCACCCTGCCAATATTGTCAAATCATGTGTAAGGCACATTGGCAGGGCAGAACACACTGTCATTTTAATTCATTCATGGCTTGTGGTGGTTTTTAATATAATAGATTGGTAGTTTATAACATTTCTCAATGAATTGACTCATTGAGAGACGGTTTCAAACCTTCATCTCCCATTCCACTATGGCCCAGCTTAAATGCAGGCTCAGGAAAGCCAGATGATTGTGGCACTCTCCTGGGAAGTAAAAGATTTTGGCTTACACCCCTATAGGCTGGGGGAGGAGAAGGAGGGAGGCGATAAACCCAGATCTTCCACTCTCTGGTTAAGTGTTTGAATTACTAGGGCAGTACTGATATTACCATGAGCCTATGAAAGGCTGATTTAAGCACTCAAGTCTAAGCAGGGGTTTCATGTTGGACTTCCTTTGTGGCTCTCACCCTTTGAAATAGTGAAAATTGTTGAGATTTTGACTTTTTGTCCTGATTCAAGACTTCCAAAATCTTTCAAGTTTTCACAAGATGGAAAAAAACTGTTTCCTGCCACCTCTAGGTACTATCAGTACTGCCAAGAGTCAGAAACTGGACACAGAAGCTGACAAGCTATTACTTTCTCACAAGTCAGATGTTTCATTCTCTTAGCCATAGCACGAGTTTGAAAACAAAGGCATATACCAATGTCTGCAAAGTTCAACTGATGTTTTGATACAAAATTAATACTAATGCAGATATTTAAGTTTGCATTTTCCATAGGACAGAATTTTTCTTATGCAGATGGGGCCATAGTCTGGGATCATAGGTATACATCAGGAATGGGCAATTAGTTGGGCTGGAGGGCCACTTAAGGAGTTTCGGTGAGCTGTTGCAATGCGGGGGGGAGTCCTGACCTGGCCCACTGCAGTGTGGGGGGTGTGCTGGCCCAGCATGGCGGGGACACAGGGTGCTGAAAGGCAAGGGGGACAGGTGGAAGGCACAATTGATCCTATCCAACCCTGGGCCCATCCACCTCACACATACCACCAGGGACACCAGACAGAGGAGGCAGGTGGGCAGGGTCTCTATGGAGACGAGCCCAGGACCCCTGTTGGCAGGATATGCTTGGCCAGGTGGATGGGATGGGGCTGCAGGTGGCCGGGGAGCTGCATCCGGGAGAAGGACTGGCAGGTGGGGCCAGGCTTGTGAGGCAGTGACAGCTCTAGCACAGGGCAAAGCCATGATCCACTCCCTGCAGGGGCTGAGGGATCTGCCACAGGCCCGCTAAAATTCCTTGGCAGACTGGATCAGGTCTGTGGGCTGTATGTTCACCACCCTTGAAATACATCCTGAAACAACTGCTGGTCTTCTGTGGATCTGAAGTATAGCCTCTTACCCTTGAAATATCGTAAGTGTGAAGAATTACATCACAAGGTATGTGTATATAAAAGCTCTACATTCGCTTGTGTTGGATCTGGTGAACTGAATATGATTGCTTATGCTTTCCAGTCCATCTCTGAAAAAGCAGTTTTGTACCAAGATAGTTTGGACTGGCAGATTTTTTATACTGGGCTTTGCAAAAAAAGATCTTGGAAAGGGAGCAAAGTAAATGACAAATATTTAAATGACTGTAGAGCCTGGTTTAGCATTTAAGCACTTGTGTACTCCATTGGGGTCAATGGGATTGCTTGCATGCATAAAGTTATCTGTATGCCTCAGTAATATGCTGGATTGCAGTCTTTATGCATGTTTATATGTGAGTACTGAAAATCATAATTTTACAGGAACTGCTTCTTTGGATAATTACACATTTGGTGGCAGAGGGTGAGGGGGTGAAGAAAAGCTATTTTTCCATCTGCAGTGAATCCTGACAGCTGCTTAAAAAGCAGCATTAATGAGAGAGATTTGTGGTGGGTTTTGAAGTTCAGTTCAAATAAATGCCCAAAGCTTTGTCTCTACATTCCTACTTGATTTATATTGTCTTTAGGATTTGCAACACTGGGTGCATATACATGAGATACTGACTGCGCAGTGACCAAATAATACTGCGCTGTAGTGCATCACAGCTCTAACATGCTACTGTGCAGTATTATTAGGCTACTGTGCAGTAGCGTCACTAAAAAGGTGTTTGCCAGTGCTGCTGCACAGTAACTCTGGTTACTGTGCATTTATTTAGTACTTGATTATACAAGTACTACATAAATGCACAGTAAACACTGTACAGTAGTATCTCATGTAGGCGTGCCCACTGAGTCGGAACTTCAGGCAAAATAGGGTGTTTCATTGGAATCAAGGTTCATAATGGTCTTGTTCATGTCAGAAATACTCCATGAACAGCTTTTCTCTTGGAGTTTTCAGAGTTTAACTTCGGTTCAAGGCAGAGTCAAGACATACAACAGGGATTAAAAAAGAAAAAAGCTGATCCAGGTGTTTTGCTCTTTGGGCTGAAGGACAGGAAGGATTTCAGATCAGCTTGCATTTGATTTGAACAAGTTGGCTTAGCCTTAACTGTGTGCAGAGCAATGTGGTAGTCTGAAGTCTAGCAGGAGGCAGGGTATATTTGCATTTATATAGACTAACTAAATTAGAGCTGCATAAGCTTTTGTAAACAGAAGCTTATTTCATGAAGTTGCTTATGAAAGCAAGTGTCTGCTTACAAAAACTTATGCAGTTCTAATTTAGTTAGTCTATAAGGTGCAAATCTACCCTGCCTTAATTCTAACTGGACTAGATTTCAAACCTAATATCTGATCCTGGGCTTTACAGAACACAAATTGGGAAGGGAGCAAGTTAAATGATGAGGTACTTGGGGAATTAACTAATGGGTAAAAATATTTTGTAATAGAAAACAAAGAGCAGAAGGAAGAAAATATTTTAACATCTGCATCCCAGAAAGCAAGAATGACAATTTCAAAGTTATACATGACATGTACTTCACTTAGGGCACTGTGTGCTAGTTTTATAACACTAACATAAATATGTCTGATTTTTTTTTTAAAGCTGGAAAACATTTTTAACCACAAAATAAATTCCATAAAACTTTCTTTTTTTCCAGGTGGATAAATATATAAGATAAATTCTTGCTAGTCTTGTTCATGCAGATTGGAGGAATCTCTTGCCATCTATTCAGAGGCCAGGCAGAAAGCTGTTGTCAAAAGTCTTCAACTGTGAGGGAGGGCAGCTGTGCTCTACAGTGGACACAACCATACTGTCATCAGACAAGGCAGCAACTGCCTGCTCCACCTCTCACCAGCTTGAAAATAGAGAGTGCTCCTTTTGTTGTTCTCTTTTCTTTTGGCTTGCTGTCTGCATCTGCCCAAGCAACATGTTTTAGATACCCTATTACTCAGATCAATAGTTCTATATCCTAGAACTCTAGAAGGAGCAAAGGTGTGATTACTACAAGAGTGCATCAAAATAGCATAAAATGCAGGGGCCAAACTCTATCCTTAGATAACTGCAGCATCCCATAGATTCCACTAATGCTTTCCATGTAGCCAATATGCAGATGAAGGCAAAAATGAAACACAGCCAGTACACTATCTAGCAATCTTTGATGTACTGGAGGAATCTTGGAACGTTTATAAAAAGGTCTCCACGTCTTATTTTTAAGTTGGGGTTCCTGTATTCTGTATGTTGCCAGGACTCTGCTAGCTTATGTATAACCAAAGCTGTAGCTACAGACCGCTTGTCTATAGTTTAAAGGTATGTAGTATCTATACGCTATTAATTGCATATGCTTTTAATCTAATTTGTAAATGTTTTATTTCATTCTCTCCAATGCACATGTACATGCATGCACTCGGCTTATTTCATTTGTTTGGCATTTGCTACTTAATAATCAGAAAATAGTCACTGCAGGTAATTATTTCTAGATATGAAAAGATTCAGGAAAAAAGTTAGACTATCTTGGGATAGAAATCTTAATACATTGTAACACTAAAAGTAATCCTCAAAACAGGTTTGGTCACAACAGTCACAGAAATTTTTTTGACTTTGGTATGAGATTTCACATAGTAACTAGAAAAGTTCACAGAGACCTGTTCAAAATTAGTATAAACATAGGTAGCAAGGTGGAAATTAATAATCAAGTTTTGCAACTTTCTTTTTTTGTTGACAGTATAACATCAAAGGGATCAAATTAACTTTTCAATAGCTCCATTCAGACTTAGAACAGGAACTGCTTGCACACTTGTTAGAATGTGTAGAATTTAATGGAAGCACAAATACTGTCATTACAGCTTTGATGTAATTATGGTTGCTTGCTGTCTTTAGTTCCTCGTTCTGTTTGCTATGCTGTCCATCAGCGATTTGTGACTTTTGTTCCAGATTTCTTAACATTTCCTGGGCCCTGACTTTTGAACAGAGTGCTTTAAATTAAAAACTTACATGTGTTGGCACCCCATCTGAAAAATTGGCCTCTACATGGAAAATGAAAGTAAAACATTTAATTCTGCAGGTCTCTCCTGAAAGCTTGGCAGTCAGGAAGCAATAAGAAATAGAAAGAATGGCACTTCTGAAGTAATCTTTGAGATACAGCACAACCTAGTGGCTACTGAACATAACAGAATTTTTCTGCTGTATTTTTTATCGTTCTATGTGGTAGGTATTAAAACATTAACTCATCATCACAAAACGCAACTGAAAATCTAGTACAAAAGAGGCCTACCCTGATGTTCAGCTGTGCAGAAAGGAACCTTGAACACCTAATGTACTTTGAGACAGTATTCTTGATCATCCCTTAAGTAATAAAAAAACTGTACAACAGCTTTTAATTTAGGGTTAGCTAAAGGTGAACTATGTCCCCGGTAAACAAAATCCTATAATCCTTGCTCCAGCAAAGTTCTATCAGAGTTGATGGAGCTTAGGAGTTTCCAAGTAAAATTGAAAGATTTAAATCAAAATTATTGTAAAAAATAAAGGCAGCAAGATATTTTTTTTAGAATAGTGGGGACCTACCTTTTTGGCAGGTATGCTGGTGTGCTACAAATTAGCCTTGCACCCTCCCCAAGTACAACTCCAATCCCTGTCCTTTACCTGACCTGCTGCTCAGCTTTCTGCTTCCTGCCTTGTGCTCCCTGTCTAATCTGATGTTCTGCTCTCTGCCCTATCTGCCACTGTGCTACCTGCCCCTCCCTGATCTGCCACATGCCACTTGTGGTACCCATGCCACAGTTTGGCCACCTCTGCTGTAGTCATAATTGCAACAGTTGAGAGAAGTATGTGGGGAAAAAACAAACCCCTGGATTTGGCCTACATTACAGTCACCAGCTGCCCAAGTATCTACCATGATTTTTGGGTGCATTTCATAGCCAGTGCTGAGCTCCCTGCTGCTGTGACTGGACTTCTACCAATTACTAAGTTAACTAGTTTAAAGTAGCTCTGTTATGTCTACATTATATTACAGACAAAGAGGCGGCTGTAAGATACTCCCTGTTCCTGCAAGAGCAAGTTGGAAGGAGAAAACAATAGCATGCTGCTGCCCAAACCTTAACTTCATCGTGGCTCCATACCAAGGACTGAAAGGTCCTGGCAGTAACTACCGGGAAGAAGGTGCAGGGAATAACAGTCAAAGCACCAGCAACCTACTGGAATCATAGCTGGGGGAACAGAGGAACTGAAATTGCTGGTGCCTATAGGATAAACTACTTTTACCTTGTCTCATTCTACAGGGACTCTAGGTCAGGGACTGGAGGTCTGCCTGCCAATGCAGCTGGTTACTGCTCTTGCAGATAATGGTCTCCTTCCTCCATCAGAGCAACAGAGGAGAACTTGGGCTGCCAAAGTTATTCCCTGATGAATCAGAAAGGAAGAAGGTCATAGCTTCATACTGCATTCACTGAATCAAGGCTTCCCCCCTCCTGCCTCTTCTACTGCTCTCTGGCTAGACAGAAAAAGATTTCTGGCCAACCACTTGCATCAAAACAAAAAGTGTGAAGATGACATTAAGTCTCTTCACCATACACACACACTCTCTCTCTCTGCTTGGAACTACAGTACTTGGAAGCAGACTGCAACAGATGTCACCTTTGTGCCACCATATATGGGTGCCTCCCTCTGGAAGGGCATTTCCAGGGTGCACAGAATCAGGCTCCTGAAACCCCTGGAGTGTCTGCCCGGGTTTCCCCGTTTACAGAAGTGAGTCCAGGGAATCCAACTTGAGACATGCCATTGCAAGCTGAGAAACCTGAGGTCCTCTCATTTGCAGAGATGCACTCCTAATGTTGTCTTGCAGGATCAGGCCACTGGTACTCCTGGGAGCGGCAGGGGCCTGACCCTCCAGGATCACGTGAATGACATCTGTCTCACTCAATAAAGTGGATCAGCTGTGCCGAGACACATCCTGGCACAGTTCTGCTTCACTTTGTGACATCTGTTTATAGACTCTGAAAAATCTGTGGCCCACCAAAACATTCAAGGCAGATCAGCTGATACTCAGGAAGATTGTTTGGATAACCTTTGCCACCATAACCCACACAGGAGTTGGGACCATAAGCAAGCCTACAGAAGCCCCTTGTGGGTCTGTACTCATGTTCCTGGATTGATATAATGCAGCTCTACTAAAGCATGTTAGCTGTGAGCACAACTTCCCACTGGATGCTAACTCCAACAATTGATGCCATATAACTAAAGAACCCATAACTCATGGCTTGGCAAGTTTACTATTATGTGTGATGGAGCAGACAAGGGCACCTGATGAGGATTAATTATTATAAATAGGGTGAGGGAATCAAGAGAACAAAAACACTATATCTCAGTTGATTTAACAGAAAAACTAATAGGGAAGATGGAAAACAAGGATTCTGGAGCCATAAAGTATTTTGTTTCATACCAAGTGCTGTCAAAAATTGCTGTCATAGCTTATCACAACCTGAAACACTCATTCTTCATAACACAGGAGGTACCACAGAAATGCATTTGTTACTATAAAACCATTTAGGATTCATTCTGTGCATCAGCGTACCTAATATTCACAGAGATTTTGCCCAAACTAACCGAACATTTGATTACAGGAATGATACAAACAGATGAAACTATCCATGTTCCATATAGCACTGCATACAATTTATCTTATACTCCTATCCAAGAAAAATGAATGGTGCTATTATTTCACTGGTTGAATCCTACTGACTTGCTTGTTCTGTCCAGTTCCTTGCTTCTGCAATCCTGAAGTGATCTGAAATAATTTTGACATTCATAAATACCTTAAACCTCTCATTTATGTAGCATGGTTAAATTCAAACACAAGAGCAAGTTTTCCTCAAAATAATTAGGGAATCCTCTTAGCAGAATTGTATATTCTCCCTAAAAAGAAAAAGAAAACAAAAAGATAACACATAGTATTGGTGTTTATTTTTGGTCCAAGTGGCCAGTTGTGACTTAGGGACTTCGAGTTGCTTCCAGCTGATTATATCTATCAGCCATCTTTGCAAGTTCTGGTTCCCAATGCTCCAAATTCTTCCTAACTTTCCCAGCCCTATCAGCCCTGCCCTCTCCAGCTTAGCCTCTGCTCTCCCTGAAGCTCTTATGAGTTCTTTATGCTCCTTTCCCAGGCTTGGTGGTGGTAGGGTTCCTTCCTCTTCCAGCCAGATAGTGCAGTGAAGGGAAAGGAGCACAAAATAGCTTTGCCATTGCTAGGAAGGGAAAGGAGCAGGACCACTTGGCACTGCTGGGCTCTTTCTGTTCCCTTCCCTCCTCCTGAAATGGTGTTGGTTCCTTAGCAGAGGGGAAGAGAACTCTGTCAGCTTCCTGTAGCAATCCTAATTATCTGCTCTTCCTCTGGATGTGGATGTCACAGGACGGGGTCCCTAGGGATGGCCGTGTTACCCCTAAGGCTCCTTGACCATGCCAATTTGGCCCAATGGGCACCCTCTATTCTCCCCCGCCACGTCTTGATGTATTTTTGTAATATAGGGAGGCTGCCTTCACGTCCTGTTGGACACAGTCTTGATGGATTTCTCTGAACCCCATGGGTCCCATTTCAAAATGGGTGTTTCAGGGCACCCTAGCCTTATGGGCTATATGCGTGACTCCAACCACCCCTTTACCACACCCCAAGCCTCGCAGATGGTACCAACGTTGTCCGGTTTAGGTCTTGTTGTAAAGTGACCCCCTTGTCCTCCCTGGGCTCTCCGCAGCCCTGCAAAGTGCCGTGCCCTCTCTGGCACCAGGGTCTGTGCCCCTCAAATACCATGCCCTCTCTGGTGCCAGGGTCCCTATGCTGCAGTGAGCCCCCAATGAGGCCTCCTTCTTCCCCAGTTAGCCTCACCCAAACCACTGGTGTTATGGAACAAGAAACAAAACACAAGCCCCTGAGCTATAACATAATACAAAAGACAAGGGTGTGCTCTGCCCCTTTAAAAGCATCAAACTGCATCCCTGGTACTAAGTCGCTAGTGAGCAAGGGTGCCTGCAGAGCTTATGGAGCCCCATTAGCCCTGGGTGCAGCATATTAGGCAGTCACTACATCACTGGGCACCTCCTCCCTGGGGGCTCCTTCCCCTCTGGCTGCCAGCAGGGAACTGACCTCCTAGCCTCTGGCCTGGGGTTTATATACGAGCCAGGCCTGCCCCTTCTGGTCAGCAGGTGTGGGCCCACTAGCTCATTCTGGCTGCCCTGGTAACCAGCAGCTGGGGCTCCCAACTCACTGCTAGCAGCTCCAGCCCTTAAAAAGGAGCAACAGTGGGCAAGTGGGGAAAGCACCCAAATCATAGCTGGAAGTTCCCTAAGGGTATACTAAAAATGTGCAACCCTCAGTGATCTCAGTGAAATGTTATTTCTTGTATCCAAAACCCAACACACCTTAAGGTTTTAAAGCACTGAAGTCAAGGAAAGGAAACAAACAAAAGTTTTCAGTGTAAAAATAGACATCTTGAAAAAGGGGTAATAGCTTTGTGGAAAGGAAACCTGAAAGGAAGGAGAAGATGAAAAAATGGGAGCAGAGAAGACCTGGAGGTGAGAAGGATAGGAGAATTTATTTTTGGAGACCTGGAAAAAAATATGGAAAATGTTATTTCTGGGAGGATTGAGAGGGGAAGGACAGTGTACAGGAAGGGAATATGTAGAATAGTACCCACTGCCAGTAGGATAAATATATATCTATATTGCATTTGATTTGCTACTTCACCTTTAATTAACTAAAATAAATTTTACAGAAAGCTTTGTATAGAGGAATAACTTGAGTTTATCTGTCACTCAAGTGTAGTCATTTCTGGGAGTAGAAAACTTCCTTACTGATTTTTATTCTTGTTGTTCTGTCCAATTTTGGTGATTTTTTTAAAAACACATGTAAGTAAACTATTTTTAACACTTTATTTAAATTTTAGGAAATTCCTACCTTCTCCAATTCCATGGTTAAACCTCGAATGTTAAATGTTGTATTGATCGTTTCTGTAAAATAGTAACAATTGTAACAGAAGTGGGTATTTATTCTTGGTTCTTAATTACAACAGAGTAAATTTAACCAATTGAGGCTCAAACTTTCTAACAACTTCAGACAGAATTGGATTGAGACCTTACTGTCCTGTCCTGAAATAATTTTTTTTATTTTCTTTCAAGTATATTAACTTAAAATAGTGAATGCTTCTGAGCAGTTCTTCTGGCCTGTGTTTAGTGGATTGAAGATAATTAATGTATTCCTCTCACATTTAAGTGACAATTCATAAAGCAATCCCTGCTAGTTAAATAATTTGTCTCTTAGAACAGTGGAGGCCAACCTTTTTGGCAGGCATGTCGCAAATTAGCCTTGCACCCTCTCTGAGTAAAACCCCGATCCCCTTCCACTGCCTCATCTGTTGCTCTGCTTTTTACTATATATTTCCTAAGTAACCTGCTGCTCTGCTTTCTGCTTCCTTCCCTGTGGTCCCTTGGCCCATCTGCTGTTCTGCTGTTTCCTGCCCTATCTGCCACTAGCCTGATCTGCTGCATGCTACATACAGAGGCTGCCCATGCCGGTTGTGCCACATGTGCCAGAAGTTGGCTACCCCTGTTTTTGAACCTCAGTTTCAACTTCCTTTTAGTCTTCCAGGCCAGGGATAGACTTACAAAAACTCAAGCCTGAATTGATTCAATATTTGCAGGTTAGTCTAACCTGCAGAGATTGATTCGATCTGCAAGTGGACAGACATTCACTTTTGATTCAGGAAATGCAAACACATGCCTGCAGTGGCTCAGGCTAGAAGCTGGGACGCACTGAAGTGAGCCATCCCTTCCATTCTACAGTGCTGAGCTAAGGGAGGGCTTGGCAGGACACTATGATTAGGGAACAGTTTAAACCCCCACTTTGGCCTTCACAGTCCCCAGCCAGGGTGTGCCCGGAGGGGGAGTGGGAAGCAGCTCTCACCAGGTTCCCCACCCCCTGCTCACTGCTCAAGGGGAGGAAGTGTTGCCAGACCCAGGCCCCCAGCTAGCACTCTGAGGCAAAGGGCAGGGGAAGGAGGACTGCTTGTGTGGAGTGTATGCATTTGTTGATGATACTGAGCTTTTCAATCTCCCTCTCCCTGCTTCTTCGTCCTGTCTGCAGCAAATTGACAGGCACTGCATTCATAGCAAACCTATCAGCCCATCAAGAAAACAAAGCCGCTCTCACATTAGTTCAAGCTCTTTGTAACAGGAGGGACGGCAGGGTCGCCATGCTAGCCCTCGCCGCCTCCTCTACTGTGTCAAGCTTCAGATTTGCACCCTCCTATTCTCGCCCGCCACGACTTTGATGATATGTTTCTTTTGTAGGGAGGCTACCTCTCCTCTACTTGGCCACAGTTCTCCTGCTCCGGGTGTCCGGCGTGTCTAGGCCTTGCGGGCCTTCTCTATACGCCACCCTTCTCACCGGGGCTCTTCCCTCTGCAAGGCTGCCCTTCTCACCGGGGCTCTTC